TATACATTTTAGGGCAAAGGTGAAATCGCTGTCTCAGACTAATCGACATATGTCAAGACGTTGTTGAAAACTGTGTGTTTCATTTCTTGGAGTAGTCATTTTTGTCATACCTGTCAATATTAAGAAAGTTTAAGGGGCAGACACCAGCCTTGTTTCGCGTTTTCATTCGAAGCTGCACACCCTCAAGTCTAGTGACCGTCTTTGCGGGGGAATAATTCGGAAGAAAAAATACTGCATTTGAGATTAAAGCATAATCCTTTAGCTACAAGACAAACTGAGTTTGGTTTCTTTAACCTCTTTAATTTTGCTAGGTAAAGTTACTAAAAATTATTTACGACAAAACGAGGTTGGTAAAGGACTAATTTGGAGATTGTGTGGCCGCTTAACTAAGCTTCTGCTAAATATTCGTCCGCGACTTAAAAGTGCAACCGTTGGTATCTCGATTGGACCTTACTGTAAGAGTGATCAAACGAGCCGCAGAGGTAACAAGAATTCGGAGATATCATACCTCCATGAAATATGTAGAGTTTATGTAAAATTGTTATGGGGGGGGGGGGATTTGTTTCATTGTATTTGGAAGTAAGGTCGTAATTAACAGTTTAATTTGTGGTTTTCAAAACTCAGATTACAATACATGTATTTTACGTGATGAATTCCTATCCTTTGGCAATATTTCATTTCAACATATCCTCATTAATTATGCAAATGACCTCTACATTTACATAATATTGATTTTTCAAGATATGCAAGTTTTCAATTTGGGGAGGGGTATCAAGTTACCGGGGGCAAAAAAATGCAATATTTTAACTGCCAAGACCAATGATTCAAAATTCTAATGTATAAGCCTCTCGTGTTTTTGTAACATGGTATAAAAATTCAGATCTTTGATTTAAAACAACCCACCCTACAGTAACTAGTATATATTGTCATTACAATTTATTGCCCAATAAACAACAGAATGTGGGGCCGTGTGGCGTAACGACAGCGCGTTAATTTGATTTGGAATCAAGGTGTTCCGAGTTGGAATCCTGCCATGTCATTGATCTTGTGCCCTTGGGAAAGGGGACATGCTCTTCACACGACTTTCCTAACTTAACAG